TTTTTTTTTTTCTTTTATGGATTGTGTTTTTGGTGTCATGTCTAGGGAATTTTTGCTTACTCTAGGGCCACATGGATTTTCTTCTATGTTTTCTTCTAGAAGGCTTTTAGTTTTAGGTCTATGATTCATTTTGTGTTAATTTTGCATATGGTGTGAGGTAAGCGATCTAAGCTAAGCCTTTTTTTTTTTTTTTTTGGCATATGGACATCTTCTTCCCATTGAATTCCTTGCACTTTTGTTGAAAAATCAATTGATCATCAAGATAAGGTTTCACTTCTGAATTTTCTATTCTGTTCCATTGATCTGAAGGTCTACCTTTATGGCAAAACCACATGGACTTGATTAATTCCTTATATAAGGATGACCAGTTTGTCCTGGTTTGCCTGGAACTTTCCTAGTTTTAAAGCAGAAAGTCCCACCACGTGGGAACACCTTCAGTTCTGGACAGCCCGGGACGGTTGATCTCACCCTACTTTATATTAAGTTTAAAAATCAGGTAGTATGTCCTCCCAGTTTTTTGTTCATTCCCAAAACCATTTTGGCAATTGTAGGTCCTTTGAATTTCCATATAAACTTCATGATCAGCCTGTCAAATTTTAGGAAGAAGCCTGTCTGAGTTTTGCTAAGGATTGTGTCAAACCGACAGATCAGTTTGAGGGGGAATCTTGTGTCCTTTTTTCACAGCTGTGTAATATTCCACTGCTGGCTTGGACCATGGTTTCTTTAAAGGTGATTGGCTGTGTCTGGCCATATGGACTCTTTCCATGCTATCACAAAACGATGCTGCAAATAACATCCTGAACTTCTTCCTTGTGTATCTCAGCCTCTCACATTGCTAAATTCCTTCATCAACAAAAGAAAAATTCCTAGGTGGCATTGAAAATGTTCATAGAAAGGGAATTAAGAAACCCCCCCAAAAAAATTATTGCTAGCACTGTCAGGTTGCCTTCCAAAATCACTTTATCGTCTTTGCTGCTCTTTGTTGTTATTAGCGGCCATTGAGTCAATTCTGACTCATGACGACCCCATCTGTTACAGAGAACTGTGCTCTGTAAGGTTTTCTTAGCTCCAAAACCAAAAAAGGAAAACCAACTCACCGCCATCAAGTTGGTTCTGATTCACAGTGACCCCCACTGGGTTTCCAAGGTGATAAATCTTTACAGAAGTAGATTGCCTCATCTTCTTTCCACAGAGTGCTTGGGGAGTCTGAACTGCCAGCCTTCTGGTTCGCAGTCAAATGCCTTAGGCACTGTGCCACTAGAGCTAAACTGGAGCCAAGCATGAACAAATCCTGAGGAGGGAGCAAACCTGGGACTGGCTGCCCGTCAGCCAATGGACTTCACCTGGTCCATTCGGCTAAAGGCAGGTTGTCTCAAGCAGAGTAGGGTAGAGCAGGTAGCAGTGCCTGACTCAGCTGCCTTGCACAGGGCACCTTGGTGAACACTCTGCATCAAGTGAGACCTACCTCCTTCCTGGGGGTACCCCGGATTTGGGAGAAGATGCAGGAGAAGATAAAGGAGAATAGTACCAAGTCCTCAGCTCTGAAGAAGAAAGTGTTCTCGTGGGCAAGAAACATCGGCCTGCAGGTCAACACGAAAAGGATGCTGGGGTAGGTGGAGGGGCCAGGGCTGGAACTGGGGGGCTCAGTCTTCTGCACTGGGCTCACATCAGCCTCTTTGACCTCTGAGGCTGGTGAACTGTCCTTGGCACCCTCTTTCACAGGGTGCATGACCCGCCCATGAGCTACCACATGGCCAAGGCCCTCGTGTTCAGCAAAGTCCGGAGCGCCCTGGGCCTCGACCGCTGCCGCTATTTTGTCTGTGGGGCTGCACCTCTCCCCGAAGAGACGGCCGAGTTCTTCCTCAGCTTGGACATCCCCATCTGCGAGATGTATGGGATGAGCGAGAGCTCGGGGCCGCACACGGTGTCTGTCAGTGAAAACTACAGGATCCTCAGGTACTGGCCTCCCACCGGGCACACCCTTGTCCTCCAGCAACACAGGGTCCAGGGGATGAAGGGTGGGCTCTGGTCTCAGCCTCCTAGCGCTGCTGTAACAGAAGCACCATAAGCGGGTGTGGCTTTGACAAATTTATTCTCTCCCAGTTGAGGAAACTAGAAGTCCAAATTTGGGGCCCTGACTCTAGGGGAAGGCTCTCTCTCTGTCGGCTCTGGGGAAATGTCCTTGTCCCTTTCAGCTTCTGTAATCCAGAGTTCCAGGGACCATTGGTGATCTCCACAAAGCATCTGTCTCCCTCTGTGTGTGTTTCTTGTCTCTGTGTCTATTTTGTTGTTGTTGTTGTTGGCCACCATCACCTGGATTCCAACTCATAGCATCTCCATAGGACAGGGCAGAGCTGCTCCCTAGGGTTCCCTAGGCTATAGTCTTCACGGGAGCAGACCACCATGTCTTTCTCCTGGGAGCTATTGGGTAGGTTTGAATTACGGACCTTTCAGTTGGGAGCTGAGTTCTTCACTGTTGTGCCACTCCAAAAATCAAATTCACTGCCATTGAGTCGAATCCAACTCACAGCAACTGCCACTGGGTTTCCGAGGCTATAAATCTTTATGGAAGTAGATTGCCGCATCTTCCTTCCGCAGAGTGGCTGGTGGGTTTGAACCACTGACCTTCCAGGGAGCAGCCAAATGCTTTACCCACTAGGCTACCAGAGCTCCTTGGTTCTGCTACTAGGGCTGTTTCTGTGTCTGTGCTGCTCTTTATGTCACTTGGAAGTGACTAGGTTTAGAACCCACCCTACATTACAAAAAAAAAAAAAAAAAACTCACTGCCGTGGAGTCGATCTGACTCATAGTGACCCCTCCTTGGGTTTCCAAGGTGGTATCACTACAGAAGAAGATTGTCCGATCATCCTTTCCCAGGAGTGGCTGGTGAGTTTGAATATTAACCCTACCTCATTAACACAGCAAAGAAAACTCTACTCCCAACCACATGCAGAAGTGTCAGGGCACCAACACATATTTGAGGGACACAGTTTGTTCCATAACAGTGGCCTCTAGGCCACAGTGAGCCCTGGTTTGGTGTGTCCAGAGTGACCCCTGTTCTCTAGCCTCCAAGACCCTAATCTGCATGACCGTGGGGACCCCTGATTGGGCAGAGAGCACCCGCCCAAGGGGAAATGAAGACACAACCAGCCTGCAGTCCCATCAAGCTTCCTGGTGCACAAGGCACTGGGGCTTGGCCCCACTTTTGAATACATCCCCCCTCTTGCATTCAGCAAACACAATGGGGCCTTTGATGCCTACCCAACAGCTCCACAGGAGAAAA